GGATAACAGCTTTGTGCAGTGTATGGTGAGTTCAATAAGACGAAAGAAAAAGAACATAAAATGGGCTAATATGGACTCACCATCTTGAAGACCTTAAGTGCATGTGCCTTGAGCATGGGATTGTTGTGAGGAATTTCATCAGTGCCTTCCAAGAATGAGAACATGTTCTTTGCCGTCGGAGCAATCTCTAAGATCCTAATCCATAATCAAAAAAAGTCATAATAATCACTCCCATAACATATTGATCATACACATTTTTAAAATAAATTATATCTTCTAGTTCACAAGGGCATTGCAAAAGACGACCTAATCACAACAATATTAATGCATGCACATCTAAAAAACTTCCTTTAACCAAAGAAAAAGTACAAAACCAAAAAGATGATACAATGTTTGCTCTCAGTCTCTCTCCCTTCTACGTACACAATTACACACGTACACCTACATGAATCATGAATACTTAAAAGGTGAAGAAACGAAGACTCAGCTCAGGAATGTTTTGCTTCATCACATCCCATGAGTCTTTCACCATAGCTTCTTGCTTCTCAATGATAACCATCTCTCTCTCTCTCTCTCNCATGAATCATGAATACTTACAAGGTGAAGAAACGAAGACTCAACTCAGGAATGTTTTGCTTCACCACCTCCCATGAGTCTTTCACCATAGCTTCTTGCTTGTCAGTGATACCCATCTCTCTCTCTCTCTCTAATTCTGTCGTATTTTTGGCTTTATGCAATTCTGACCTTTTATAGTGATGGGACATTTTTGAAGAAGAATAGGGACCTGACGCGTGTCCTCAGCACTGAGAACACCTCAAGCACTCTGGTGAAAACACGTGTTCTCAATACCGAGGACACTTAAATCTCTCTTGTAAAGACATGTGTCCTCAGCACCAAGAACACTTAAATCTCTCTGGTGAAGGCATGTGTCCTCGGCACTAAGGACACCTCTAACTTTCATGTGATGACATGTGTCCTCAACACTGAGTACACCTCTAGCTTCATGTTATGACACGTCTCCCATGTGATTGGATCCCGAGGATCCGTTTGGACAAGTCACCTGAAGCTCCAAGGCTGATTATTGATAGTTGCAACCTGTTGAAATCAGAGTTAGACAATGGATCATTGACTTGCCTTCCCAATGAAGTCAGAATGGTAGAATGGACAAGATCAGCAACCAAGCGGAGTTAAACACGTGGAATGATGCATAGGATTGAGGGTAAATTGACAAGAATACCCCTGCTGACATGCAAGCATTCCAGAATAACATTTAATAATCCCTCAAAAGGATGAAACATCCATAATGCTCAGGGAGCTTAGAAGGAAGAGTATTTAATGCCCAGGAAGCTTAGGAGGAANATAACATTTAATAATCCCTCAAAAGGATGAAACATCCATAATGCTCAGGGAGCTTAGAAGGAAGAGTATTTAATGCCCAGGAAGCTTAGGAGGAAGGGCATTTAATGCTCGGGAACCCAAACATTAAAGGTTGAAGTCTTTCCCATGTAAAACTGGAGGTGTTCTACCCAATAGTTGAACACTAATCATTGTCTCCCAAATAAACCAATGAGAAGCCTCTTTTTGACATGGCCCACCTGACAACAATGATAACTTTACTGGAAGGTATAAATACCATTCACAAATATGTGGCAAAGGTTTGCAATCTGACCCCAGAACACAAAACAGAGCTTTTCCCTTCTCCTTTCTCACGAACTGACTTGATCGTCGGAAGGGATACACTGAAAAACACTCCAGCGCTCTTCTAACCCATCTTTTGAGTGTTAGAATCTGCCTTCGGCTTGTCTGAATTGATCGGGCAGCCTTGAAAGCAATTCATCACTACTCCGTAGGCCACCTTTGGTCTCCCTTCGCTACAGGATCGTCGACTTACGAAGTAAATACATGTTCACCAAGAGAGAGAACTGTCTTTTTTATTTATTATGCGAAAATCACCATGCACACATGGGTAAGAGGAGATGGGATTCATATTTATAAAACAATGACCATATGTTAATGGCTTTTGGTGTAATTGATTAGTTGTGTGTTTGCATTAATAATTAGCAGGAGGATGCGGCAAGACAACTAAGAATATGATCGTGAAGAGCTGACCCAAGCATGACTTGGTGAGTTTTGGATGCACATCATCATATGGGATAAGTCGTGCCCATTAATTGTTTGTACCTTATAGATGTGTTCTTCTTCTTTTTTTTTGGAACAGTAGTGATGAAAAAAATTAGCTGTCGTTTTATAATTATTTGAAAAAAATTACAAGTTTATTTTTTTATTTTATTATAATTAGGGTCACTATATATGTAACAAAAAATATAATTATAAGTATAAAAAACATGGTCATGGTATAACAGATATCAACATTTGGGCTCAAGTAAATTATTTATATATTGGGATCATTATCATCGGACGAAGTTGAGGGAGGGACCGAAGGAGTTAGGGAGAAAACAAGAGATTTTGATGACGTATGACTTGCCTTTATTTGAAGTCTGGTACTTCTACGATAACACAGCTTATAATTTTTTTAATAACCCTCATTATTTGTTCACATAACTTTCCTCTTTGTTTGGTTTTATTTCTTATTGGAATAGCACTTTTAGAATATAAGCTATAATTGTTATGTAAATACAAGTTTAATATTTTTTGTTGTGCTAGGATTGTCTGTGGTTGGTCATGATTTGCGCATTTACGACTTTTTTTTCTGTTTGTAAAAAAGGAAAATTAATTGATAATATTGACCTTTGATTGGCCTCTACTTTTCTATGTTAGACTTTTATGTAAAAAGATTTAAATGGATTATTGTATTTTATTAATTCGAAGATATAAATTAGAATTTATAATTAAAATTACCCACCCTAAAATAAATTTATAGCTCTGCCCTTGAATTTGAGCTCAAATTCATTATTTTTTTTTTTTTTTTTTTGATACCACAATCATATAATTGTTCATAAATATTCTAAATTTCTTTCTTGTGTTAATATTAGATATTTAGATGAAGTGGTTTTTCTCATATTTAAACCTATTATCTTACATCTATTAGCATGTCTATTTTTACCTATTCACCGGCTAATTGCTTGACACTTTAAGTCCATAATGGGGATGCTAGTTAAAAAGATCATGTGCGTTACAGTTCAACTACTACATCCTTTCCAACAATAATAAAAATGTTAATAGTGTAGAAAACATGTGAATTATTTGCGAGCAAAACTTTCTATTCAACATTTCTTTTTGTGCCTTAGCTATTTTTTTTTTTTTTTATTTACCATGGTTATTTGTTTTATGGGAATTCTCCTAGAATAGATGGGATTTTCTTTTACTATTCTCTAGTGTGATTTAAGTTTCGAGATGCCTGGCTTAAAGCTGAGTTTTGCAACCTGATATCTGACTTTATCTTAGTTGATTGACATGTAGATCTTTATGTTACGTTGTCGTTTGGATTAATTAATTCACTGCTCTTTTTTTTCAATTGCCAATCACAGTATCTTGTTAGGTGTTGGAAGCTTGTTAGATACGATTCCATAGATCCTCTTATTTTATGTTTTATTTCGATGAATATACTTTTTGACTTATGTATTTTTATAATTCATTGTCATGGTTTTGTTTCAAAACTAATGGTCCACACCAAAAAATTCCTTACAAAGATGATCTTAGAATGGTATAACTCACTGACAAATTTTGGTAGTTAAAAGTTTGTATATGTCACGTATTTCAGATTGATGTCCACTTGATGACTGCCTACGCCAGGGACAATAGACNAAAGGTTTGTATATGTCATGTATTTCAGATTGATGTCCACTTGATGACTGCCTACGCCAGGGACAATAGACTATTNAGTTAAAAGTTTGTATATGTCACGTATTTCAGATTGATGTCCACTTGATGACTGCCTACGCCAGGGACAATAGACTATTGAGATCATTATGTAGGCTTTTGATAATTACTTGATAATCTTTTTGTTCTGTTCATTTAACCTCTCCTAGAATTCTGATGGAATACAAGACTTTCCTTAAATTGGCTCAACTCTCAAGATTTTCCGTTACGTAATTTTCGTTTAGTTAGGCTTTTAATTCCTAATTTAGAGCAAATTAGGCTTTTGGTCATACCATTAAAAACTCGTTTTGTAATGTGCAACTGCAGTTATATTTGAATAATATGCTGAGAGTGTATATTGTTATTCTTTCTGTGGATTTAGGGCTTGTGTGATTGTTATTCCATGACAAATAGTGGTTTCTCTGTGTGCCTATTACCACAACATCATATATGCTTCTAACTTAGAAAACCATGATTCATTGCTTGTCTTTTAAGCATTGTTACTTACAGGCTTATGGTGACTTCAGATTTTTTAATGATTGATAAGTGGATGCATGTTTTTTTAAATGTCTACTTAAATTCTTGTCGGGCAAGATATGAATTCAGGGTTTGCTTCTAACCATGTTGTCCCTTTTGTAGCGACAA